TGCCTCTGATCTACAGTCTCGGCTGGGGTGAAGTAAAGCTCTGCTGTAACACAAGTCAGCTATGTTACACACCAGTTATAGTGCAGATATGAAGATTTTAGTGTTCAATTTAAACTAGAGAGAGGAATTAGGGAGACTGCAACATTCAAGCTAGGATTTATACCTCATTAAAATAAGAGATGTAGTGTCCAGAGATGTTTATAAACTTAGTCTTCTAGCAGAGGCTTGTCCAAATTTGCTGTGGCTAGGAGCTGCAAGGGGGTGCCATCCTGTAGCCCTCAAGCTGCACACCACACAGGTGGCACATGGTGGGGGCAGCACCCTTGCCCAGGTTCCTCCTCCTTGAACAGGCTGCACTGGGATGCACGGACCCATGTGGGTTCTGGTGGTGGTGTGTAGCCCACCAACAGCACACAACCCTCTACCCCTCCATGCAGGATCACTCAGCAGCATGCAGCCCCCAATCCCCTGTGCAGGACCTGTTGGTGACACGCAGCTTGCCCACCTCCCCCTGCCCCCATCATGTGGGATCTGCTGCTGATCCAGCCTCACAGCAGTGGCATGCAGCTCCCTCACACCCATCATGCAGGATTCTCTGGTGGCGCACAGCCTGCTTCCCCCATATAGGATCTGTTGGTGGCATACTGCCCCTTGTCCTCTGCCATGCAGGCTGCTTAGGTGGTAGTCCCCAAGACCCACAGGGCATACATTAGGTGTTTGTGAGGTACATGTGGTCTATGGGCCACCAGTTGGACAGCCCATTCTAACATACCCACTCATGATGCTGCTGGATACTCATTTCAGTGGGAAGTGTACAAGTTATTGAAAAAGCAAGCCCACTCTTTGCATCACCAGTGATGCTTAGAGAAGTCTCTCATGTAATAACTCAAAACAGAGGCTACTTTGTGTATTGGAGCTGAGGGAACTGCAGCCCAAAGCAATCTGACTAAAGCCTAAAGTGACACTAATATTATACATACTGCTTTTTTTTTTTGAGGGGGGGAGGTGATGAGAACTGGCTAAACAGGTGGGCAAGTAAGATAACATTTGAAGCTATACAAGTCTACATTGCACCCTTAGAAGTTAATTCCTTGGTTTACTATTTGGGATTTCTGAAAAGCCAATCAGTATGTCTGTGACTAGATTGTTACCTCAGATGGTCACTTTACTATGCTTGAAGTATACTCATGTTCCACTGCTGACTTCAGGGATCAAGTGCAATATCTCACATTATGGTAACTTCCTTTAGCACTTGACAGCACCAATTTTACTTTCACATCTCAAGTCTGACACTGCATGCATCAATAACAATCCAATGAAAGATGTACTATTAAACTGGCAAAGAATGACTGATTGTGATTGACAGCAAGCATGACAACTCTCAGTATCATGACATTAACATGTCATTCACTGGTCAGCAGTGTTGTTGAAAATCCTTCTAGCCTAGGAGATGATCCATCATACACTGTGCCATGTCTTTGTTATAATACTGCTTGAATAGATGTTTAACTGTATGCTTGAAAGCTTTGCCATATATTCTTTATTTCCCTCGCAACAATTACAGATTCCCAAAGTAAAACAAAGCTAAGCATCTGGAATGTCAGAGGCTGCTTTTGGCTATGCAGTGTTTATAGCATCAGCTGCTGGTTTGAAAATAAGCCAAAATAAGTTAGTGTTGGATTTAATATTACTAGAAAAAATATCTTATGTGCTGTCATGTTCTACAGCTGCAGGACTGTGAACAAATGTCAGTGGATGATGATGATTGATTTACAGCCTTCTCTACACAGCCGAAAGAATGTGCCATGGATTCCTGTGTAAGATGCACTTTAGATCAGAGCAAGAAAGCTTATTCACAGGTGATTGTAGTTTGCAGTGTGTTGCCTCTGCATATTCACGTTGATGCATGATGCAGGTATAGGAACTTTCTAGAAAGCAGTGCCTATCTAGGGCCAAATATCTTCTCACAGCACTGAAAGCTCAAAATAGAGGTTATAAGGGGGTTATACACTTCTAACACCCAAGTGTATAACAGTATAAGGAGTATTGCTCAGGCATTCAGGGATGAAGTCAGGAAGGCCAGAGTGCTATTGGAACTGCAGTTAGCAAGGGACATGAAGGGTAACAAGAAGGGTTTCTACAAGTATGTCAGAAACAAAATGATGAGCAGGGAAAGTGTGGGTTCCCTACTGAATGGGGGAGGCAACCTTGTGACAGGATGCAGAAAAGGCTGAAGTACTCAATGCCTTTTCACCTCAGTTTTCACAGGCAAGGTCAGCTCCCAGATTACTGCACTGGGCAGCATGGTTTGGGGAGGAGGTGAGCAGCCAGCAGTGATGAAAGAACAGGTTAGAGACTATTTAGAAAAGCTGGACGTGTACAAGTGTATGGGGCTGGATGTGATGCACCCGAGGGGGCTGAGGGAGTTGGTTGATGTGATTTCAGAGCCTCTGGTCATAGTCTTTGAAAACTCATGGCTAACCAGGAGAGGTCCTGGATGACTGGAAAAAGGGCAAATATAGTGCCCATAATTAAGAAACAGAAAAAAGGGAGGATTCAGGGAACTACAGAACAGTCAGCCTCACGTTCCCTGGAAAAAAAAGTCATGGAGGAGATCCTCAAGGAATACATTTCTAAGCACTTGGAGGAGAAGAAGGAAATTAGGAACAGTCAGTGTGGATTTACCAAGGGCAAATCATGCCTGACCAACCCAGTTGCCTTCAGTGATGAGATGACTGGCTCTTTGGATGCAGGAGACCAGTGTATATGGTATACCTTGATTTTAGCAAGACTTTTGATACAGTCTCCCACAACATTCTTGCAGGCAAGCTAAGGAAGTATGGCATGGATGAATGGACTGTAAGGTGGAGATAAAATTGGCTGGAGCATCAGGCTCAGAATAGTAATCAATGGCTGCATGTCTAGTTGGCAGCCAGTATCAAATGGAGTACCCCAGGGTCAGTCCTGGGGCTGGTTTTGTTCAATATCTTCATCACCGACCTGGAAGATGGCCTAGGGTGTACCCTCAGCAAGTCTGCAGATGACACCAAGCTGGGGGGAGTTGGGGGGGCGGGGG